AAGCGATCGTTGTTGGGGGACAATGAGGCGACAAATCAATTATGGTCACAAGCCGGTTTGGCGATGCCAGCCGCGGCACCACATGCACCAACGCGGACATCCCTGGAGTCAGCCATTCTGTCCTCACATGCATTGGCGGCAGGCTTAACGTCTCAGCAGCCTAATGTAGCAAGGGGTTTCCAACAATTATATCCGGAGCGGGCAGTAAATCCACCATCGATTCACGATCCTAGACTGCTGTCACTTGGTCCTTTCAACCAACCGCCACCAGGGTTCACATCAAATGGTGCACCAGCACAGCCGCCAACCAGTTTATCGGTACCACCGCCAGCCACCGGAGTCCGAACTCATGCAACACCACATATCAATCAAATCAATCAACAACCAAGCAGTACCATCTCAGAGATCTCCGGACGTTTTAATTTGGCGAAATGGGGAGTATCTTTTGATGGGACCGACAAAACCATGAGCGTCCAAGAGTTCATCTTCAGAGTGGGTGAACTGAAAAAGGATTATAATTGTCCCGATGAAATACTAATCACCAAATTTCACCAACTCTTGGAAAAACCAGCACTTGATTGGTATTGGAACCACCGGAAATTGGTCCAGTTTCGCACATGGAAGGAATTAGAAAGTGCTTTGTTGGCGCAATACCAAAGATTTGAAAATGAATTCCAACTTCAAATGCAAATTTTAAATCGGCGTCAACTACCCCAAGAGAATTTTGAGGAATTTTATAATGATGTGCTGCGGTTACGAACACAGCAAAAATCGCCCTACAGAGAGCACGAGATAGTGGAAATAATGCGAGGCAACCTTAAGCCGTCTCTAGCTCAAATGATCTTCTCTGCTCAGATAAGTAGCTTGGGTGATTTTTATAGGCAGGTGAAGAAAGCCGAAAATCTTGTGTGGAGCCAAAGACAGCAGAGATACAACACACCACAAAAAGTGCATGAGATCGATTGGCAGATGGAAGAGGAACCCCGAGGTGAAATTGAAGTTGATGCCGTGACCATGACATCCAAATATAAATGTTGGAACTGCGGTGTTGTGGGTCATAGCTGGATGGAGTGCCGGGAACCTCGAAAGATTTTCTGCTATAGGTGTGGCCTAGAAGGTGTTACCGTCCCCGATTGTCCGAAGTGTCAGGAAACCGACCCAGGAACCCACCTCAGTCTGGGCAGGTGAGGTCAACCCCAGTTTAAGCCCAGAGCAGTGTAGTAGTTCTAAGGCCAACTTTTCTATTTTGAAGAATGAGGAGAGAGAAAATAAAAATTCAGAGATAAAACCGAGATTGAGAGAGTTGAAACCCCTACATATTCGAATCAAAGAATATTGCGAGGCGAGAGAAAGAATTTTTGGGCAAGTTTCCAATAAAATAAAAAAGGCTAGGGAGAGATACAAGAGGAGAAGACGCATTCGACAGGAGATAGCCTCGGCTACCATATTTGAAGGGGAAGATAATCGTCTCTATACAAAACTAAATATCAACGGTGAAGAGATAGAGGGATTGTTAGATAGTGGGGCTACAGTCTCCTGTCTGGGTAAAAATTGCCTTAACTTTGTGGAAAGGGCAGGGTTGGAAATTAACCATTTCCATTCCTTTATCAAAACAGCTGATGGCAGCCCACATAAAATAGTTGGCAGGGTGACGACAATGGTCAAATTTAGGCAGCAGGAGCATTCTGTCATATTTTATCTTGTTCCTTCTCTGAGCCGTGAGTTGTTTCTGGGGGTAGATTTTATGAAACGTTTCCAAATGTTCGCTCAGGTGGACAGTTTGTCCCTTCAGCAAGTGAGTCTCTGTGGTGAGCCTGAGATCAGTGATGTTAATAGCCATTCTTTGTCCGAGGAGCAACGAAAGCGTTTGCAACTAGTAAAGGACAAATTTCCTTGTTTTACCAAGTATGGCTTGGGAAAGACTAAAGCTGAGGTCCATTCAATCGACACTCGCGATGCAGCCCCGGTGAAAGATAGGCATTATCCCGTTTCCCCGGCTGTGCAGAAGCTTATGTATGCGGAATTGGATAGGATGCTAGACCTAGGTGTGATTGAAGAGAGCGAGAGTCCATGGAGTCATCCGGTTACTCTAGTCCGAAAGGGCGAAAAGAACCGTTTGTGCCTGGACGCTCGCAAAATCAATGCACTGACGGTCAAGGACGCCTATCCATTGCCGCATATAGAAGGTTTACTCAGTCGGCTGGGGGATACCTATTTCATTTCTAGTGTCGACCTGAAGGATGCGTTCTGGCAAATTCCACTGGACCCTTCAAGTAGAGAGAAAACTGCATTCACAGTGCCCGGACGACCACTTTACCATTTTACAGTCATGCCCTTTGGTCTGTGCAATGCAGCCCAAAGGTTATGCCGTTTAATGGATAAAGTGATCCCTGGCGCACTACGTGATAGAGTTTTCGTCTACTTGGATGATCTTTTGGTTGTTTCGCCAGACTTCGACACTCACCTGAGGTTGTTAGAGCAGGTGGCAGATTGTTTGGCTAAAGCAGGACTCACAATAAATGTAACCAAGTCGAAGTTCTGCTTCAAAGAGCTAAGGTACTTGGGTTACATTGTTGGAGGTGGCAAACTTAAAACTGATCCGGCAAAGGTGGAAACAATCGTAAAGTTTACGTACCCGAAAACAGCGAAGCAGGTGAGAAGTTTCATGGGTACAGCAGGGTGGTATCGAAGGTTCATTGCCGACTTTGCCACCATTGCTGCTCCCATCTTCGAGACCCTCAAAAAAGGAAAACGCTTCACGTTCACGGAGGAGGCCAAGGTAGCATTTGACAGATTGAAGCAAGCCCTAGTGAGTAGTCCCGTCCTGACCCACCCAGATTTTACCAGGCATTTCTATGTTCAATGCGATGCCTCTGACTTGGGAATAGGAGCAGTTTTATTTCAAAGAGACGATGAGGGTGGAGAACATCCCATTGCATACTTTTCGCAAAAGCTGACTTCTGCTCAGAAAAATTACTCGGTGACTGAGAGGGAGTGTTTGGCAGTGGTGATGGCCATTAAAAAGTTCAGGCCATATATAGAGCTGATGCCTTTCACAGTGATAACTGACCATAGCAGTTTAAAATGGCTCATGTCACACCGAGATCTGAGCGGAAGGTTAGCCAGATGGAGTCTACAGTTGCAGGCATATTCCTTTAAGATAGAGCATCGCAAAGGAACCCAGAACATTGTACCTGATACCCTGTCAAGATATGATATGGAGGAGATTTCCCTGGATGTGAAATCTTTAATTGATCTTGATTCCTTAGCTTTTAAAACAGACGATTACTTAGCCTTGATAGACACCATCGAAAACAATTCCTCACAACTTCCCGATCTAAAAGTGGTTGATGGTTTTGTGTATAAACGAACACAGTTTTACGATGGTATTCCCCTTAATGAAGATTTCGCCTGGAAGTTATGGGTACCCAGCGAAATGACCCAGGAAATCATTGAAAAAGCACACTGTCCACCACAAGTTTCTCATGGAGGTTTCCACAAGACACTGCGTAGGGTGAAAGAGTACTTTTTCTGGCCTAATATGAATACTCAAGTTAGGAATTTCGTACAGAATTGTCAAATTTGTAAAGAGACGAAACCAGCTAATTCGACTCTTCGTCCACCTATGGGATCGGAAACAATTACCGAAAGACCTTTTCAACGAATTTATGTCGACTTCTTAGGTCCTTATCCCAGGACTAAAACGGGAAACAGTTTTATTTTTATTGTGGTAGACCACCTTTCAAAATACGTCTTGCTAAAAGCCATGGCCAAAGCAAATTCGAGAAATATAGTAAAGTTTTTAATTAGTGAAGTATTTCATAAATTTGGAACCCCAGAAGTAATAGTGTCCGATAATGGAAAACAATTTATTAGCAAAGAATTTGCACACATGATTAAATTTTTTGGCATAAACCACATCAAGACCGCTTTTCACTCCCCGCAAGCAAATGCCTCGGAGAGGGTAAATCAGTCCATTTTATCAGCGATTCGAGCATATCTGGGAGAAGATCACCGAGAATGGGATCAAAATTTATCAGAAATTGAATGTTCTCTACGATCTTCTGTCCATAGTTCCATTGGAACTACCCCTTATTTTGCGCTCTTTGGAGTCAATATGATAAATCATGCTAGTCTTTATAAATTAGCCAGGAAACTAAAACTTCTTAATGACCCCGAGACGACACTTATTCCAAATTCGGTAAAACAGAATCTTATTAGAGAAAAGATAAGAGATAGTCTGCACCAGGCATACGTAAGAAATGAAAAATCTTATAATCTAAGAACTCGTCAGGTCAAGTTCATCCCAGGGCAAGAAGTGTTTCGAAGAAGTTTCAGGCAAAGTGATTTTAAAAATAATTATAATGCTAAACTTGATAAGAAATTTTTCAAGTGTCGCATTGTGAAGCCAGTTGGGAAATGCCTTTACGAAGTCGAAGATCTTAAAGGGCATCCCATTGGCATTTTTCACGCTAAGGATTTAAAGCAATAAATGCTTAAGTTTAGATGATTTAAATTCTTCTAATTAATTTTTTTTTCTTTTTGCATATATATAGCGACCGAAGTCTAAAGCATATATATATGAGAGAGCATTTATATACTAGTTAATTTAACTTCAGTTTTAAACTAGAGCGGAGATCTTAGAATGAAATATCAATCCGCAACGTCTACATGAAAATATTTAAAATTAAACTCTTAATTCTACCTTAAAGTTTTCTTAATTTTAAAATTTTCCAATACTCACCTGAATTTCCCAAGAGTTCCTGAAGATCCATTTGAATTTTGATAAAAGTAGTACCTGAATTAAAAAACATTTTTATTAGGATTGTTTACGATATAGTATTATAAGGACTAACCTGAATTACTACTTACGAATTGTCCTTTATTATTCCCAAGTTTTTTTTTTTCAAGCTGTAGGACAGCTTTTTCCTTCCTGTGTGATGTGTGTAGGGTTAAAGGTTGAACCCCATTTCTCCAGTTTTTTTACCATAAAGAAAAAGAAAGATGAATTAGTGAAATATCATTATTTAAGATCAATGGCAAAAAAAATAGAAGTAAACAAAAATGAACAATTTAAAAATTAAAATAGACATAAAATGTCATTCTCAAGCCATACTTACGAAGTTGTTTGGCTAAACATTGATTATAAAATATAAAATTTTTGTTTATAAAAAATAAAGTTCTTATAATTTTTCTCCATTTTCAGAGCAAAATTACAAAAACTATGAAATTGAATTAAAACTACAACTTACGTCTAGTTTTGAAGGTCCGACAGTAGTACCTCGATTAATTCTGGCAAGAAATTTCGTTGGTGGCATAGTTCTCAAATCCCGTCTGTTTTTTTTATTCGAACAGGCGTCCAATCTTCTAGACTCTAACAGCAGATGTCAGAATTGCGAAGTCAGAGTACGAATTAAAGCATTCTGGGTTTACCGACTCTAGTTGATGTCTGCGCATCCGGAGCAGTCACCTGGTGACTGTCTTTGACCATTAGTGCAATTCCCCTTTCGCGGTGAAGCAGTAGCCGTTCGCTCTTTGGCACGGGCCAGGGAACTGTTGTACACGAGGTCGCAGATCAGTCCTTCACCCGCCTTACGACACTAGAGTCTGGAAGCCAGAAGACAAAAAGAACAAATACACCTCAGTGCATTTGCAAACCATCGTATCCGACATTCTGACAAAAGCTGAAGGTCTAGTCGATGGTACACCTGCTGGAAAAAAAAGGGAGAACAGGATTACTCGAACTTACCATCAAGTGTAATTTCCTGTTTTTGCAGGACAGGCAAGTTCTATTGCCTAAAAGCTTTTCTAATTCTACTTACCTTTTGTGAATTAGATATCCAATTTACGTAAATTCTCTAGTCATTCTATTGGAAGTTGAGACCATCGAAAACTTTTTCTTGTTACCATAGGAGGCCACTCGCCTAGACACCAACAGCAGTGGTCAGGGAGAATTCGTTGGATTACGAGCGGAAGCATCCCAGATTTACCGACTCTAACAATATGTCTACGATTCCTGAACAGTCAATTTATGACTGTCCTTGACCATTTGTGCACTCTTCCTTTATATTCCCATACGCAACTATGGCACAAGGCAGAAGAGTGTTGTACACAAGGTCGCAGAGCAGTCAGTAATCGATTTATGACGTTAGAGTCTGGAAGCGGGAAGACACGATCAAACACATCTAAATGCATTTGAAATGATGCCGTATCCAACAATCTGGCCAAAGTGTGGACCTAGTTGAAGGTACCCCTACAGCAAAAGAAAAGAAAATATCAGGTCTCAATCTTACCTTTCGTTCCATCCAAGCCTAGGCAGTCACCAATCTGAAAAGATAAGAATAGGAAAAATGAATATTAGTTATCTGTGAAAAAGAGGAAACTTTAAGTCAAATTCAAAAATTAATTTAGAACGAATAGATTAAAATTTAATTTTTAGGCAATCACACCGAATATGTCCGTCCGATTTGAATAACTTTCTCAATTTTATCTTTAATAATTTTCTTTTTTCATACAGTTTAATTATTCCTTCAAAATTTAAAACATTTCACATAATTCGTCACTTTAAATTTACCGAAGCTCAATTCCTAAATATTTTATTTTCAATTAATTCACAATAGTATTTCAATTTAATTTAAATTAATTTTTCTTTCATTTTTTTTTTTTTTTGATATTAATTTGCACAGCAAATAAAAACACTTTTTGCATTAATTTTTTTTTAATTCTGCAACTTTTTAATTTTGTTTTCATTTTTTTTATTTCTATTAAATTCTTTGCACTTTTCGTTATTAAAAATAAACACAATATGTGCACGCACAATTTATGTCCGATCAATTCTAATTTTTTTCACTATTTTCCATTTTTTTCACTATTCCCAACAGTCATCATTCATTAGTTTTTTTTGCACATTAGCTCTGTTGCCCACAACATTGTTAATTTTTGCATTTTGTTTGTTTTCACTATTTCAATTTTTCTTTTCTTTTGGCAACATTATCTATTTTAATTTTTATTTGCACTTTTCACTCATTCCTTAATTCTGTTTTCTTTATCTGTTCCATCTTTATTCACTACTCACTCACTTCGAATTGTATTTCAAACTTATTGTTTCCGCCAAAGTCACATTTTTTCTTAATGAGTGCATTTTTTCATTGTAAATGCAAATGCTACTTTTATTTACACTCACACACACACTGGATGGAAATCATTAATTTTTTTTGATTAGGAAATTAAATTATTTTTATGAAATTAATTGAACTTGTTTCATAAAAACCACTTTATTATTATTTTTCCTTTTTTCCTTTCATTTTCTTTATTATTTTCTTAGATTTTTGTGGATTATTTTTCTTCATGCAATATTTGCAATTTACAATTCTCACATACACCCGCACTGTATGTCAATGATAGTAATTTTCATTCATTTTTTTTGGCACTTTATTCACTTTTGACTTTAGTTTTACACGTTATTTTCAGTAGCCCGGCACTTACTTTTGTTTTATTTTAATTATTTTATTATTCACTTTAATTTTTTTTCACTCTACTTACCCATAATTTATAATTTCCGCAGCTCCAAATTTTCTGTCCGTCCGTGCTCCAATCCGCCAAAAAAAATTTACAATAGACGCGTACTCCGATTGTTTTCATTCATAAACGTCACTACTATCGATAGTCACTACGATCGATATTCACCTTACGTCAGACTAAAAGATAACGCGTGGCGTATGACGTAAACATTATACCATGTTCCTATGGGCTAATGGAAGATTAACACTGTGGTAAATAAATCACGCCGAAATTAAATTTTATTTTGGAAAATCAGAAAATGATTATTAGGGATGCCAAACCGCGAATTTTAGGGATGCCAAACACGGATTTCTTTTTTAATAAACCCATCAAAATAGTGATACCTTTTTTTATTTTTGAGACGAATGTCGCACTTTTTTCCCCCTATCCTTCGATAAGGATATCAGCAGGATAGTTGGCTTTGTGGTGTGCGCCTTTTAAAGGGGTAACCATGAAAATAATTGATAGCCAGAAGAAGAAGAAGAGTGTTGCCAACCGTTTTTAGAAAACAGCTGATTATTCCAATTAGCAAAATGTCAACAAGGGGGAATAATTTAGAAAGAAAATGGAAAAATTATATTCAGAAAATGGCAACCAAAATTTCCTGGCCAAAATTGCCAGAAAAATCAGTCTTTTTAATTTTACCAGCGAAGAAGATTGGACGTGTGGCTCCCCGTAACCAGCAAAGGAAAAACCAACAGAAGTTTTTGTGGTGAACCACTTGTTGAAGAGTGAATTCAATTTTTTTATTTGTTTGAAACTTATAAACAAACAACACAAAATACAAACTTTTTCTACACAAAATTGAAAGCCTTAAAACGATTAAACAAAATTTATCAAGAAAAGGCTAAAAGTTTAAAAGTTAAAAACTTATAACTAAAACAAATAATTTCATGAAAATTAAAAAATTAAACTTATTTTAAAATTTAAACAAAATTTGGAAAAAAATTGAACAAAGTTTGGAAACAATTAAACAAATTTGAAAACAAAACAATTGAAATTCTAAAACTAAAAAAAAAATAAATCTTAAACCTAAATATCCAGACCAGGAAACTGGAGTCAACGAGCCACACCATCGCCCGTCCAATCCATCGAGGGAGGCGCAGATTTTACGCCATTGCTGCTCCAGCGTGGCCTGGTATCATTCCCAATCGACATTTGTCACACTGAACTCCGGACAGACAGACGGACGACGAAGCTAAATGATTAAATTCCGCCGTTTTCCTGTGAAAGAAAGATAGAAATTAGAAGGGGTAAACAAATGAATTTAAATTTAAATTTTACTCACATTTTGATTGAGGTGCAGGTTCACGACGTTGAAAAGAGCTCTATTCAAGGTTAGGTAACCAGGCATTTTATTTCGCTCGTCGATTTTTTTTTGGTTGTCGACACCACTCCTTTGTTTGTCCTTCCCTAAAATTGAAAAAAAAAAAAAAGAAACATAAAAAAAAATTGAACGTGGAATATAATTAAAAAAGCTAGACATTAACAATACGTTCGTACTTACCAATTGGGAAGAACCTCAAACATTAGCAGCCTTTACTGTTCCATACTTTTTGTCGACCGCCATCGCAACCTGAAAGGAGAAAGGAGCAAATATGATATTTTAAAATAATTTTGGCGCTGTAAATTTATATCTTCGATTTTTTTGTCATTATGTTTTTTTTATAACATATAAAAGCATTGTTGAATTGTTCATATCTTTGAAGAGCAAAATTGGCTGAATAAAATGTACAAATTTTTTATAGAAAAGATAAATATGTTTTCGGCTTAAAGCCCTATTAAAAAGGTGGTGGCCATGGGATAAAATGTGGTAAGTTAAGGGTCAAATCTGGGACGTCAGGGATAAGTAGACGTCATGGCGAGAGGTGTTCTCGGAGGGAGGGATATCTCCTGGTTGGTCAGCCGCCAGGAGCACTGTTTCCTGTGGTGATAAAGTAAAGTAAGTTTGGGATTTGGGTTGTAGTTTAGGTGAACGGTTTCTTTTTCTTTTTTTTATAGACATGTTTCAGGCTTCCTTTTATCCCCCTTTTAGATTTTGTGTGAAGTCCGGTATGATTTTTTTGTTTGTTCAACCGAAAAGGTCTACAAGTGGCAAGAATCAACCCCCAATCCGACGAGCCATAGCCGCGCTAAACGCCAGCATACCGGCAACGCCACTTAAGGATCACCACAGCGATTTTTCGTTCATTTTCTTGGAACACGGTTGTTACAATTGCGTTACTATTTCTAAGGTAAGTAGCCTCAATATGACTCAAATCGCAAGTGTTATTCAATATTTTGCACAACAAATCAATTGAGAATTTAATTTGATGATAAATATTTTCAAATCGTTCCACGAAATGACCATGAAAACGGAGGAACAGTTATAAATATTATTAAAATGCAAAGCCTGTTGTCAAAAGTGCAATAAACGGCGATGTGGGTGAGCTCTGTGAGGAGGCCTGCACTACTAGCACGGTCTAGGCCGGCAAACTTGGCCAAGAATATATAAATAGTTGGCTAGAATCTTGGCAACGACTAGTCGCTCAGTTACAGTTCAACAAAGATTATACGGAGGTAAGATTTCGAAACTAATTTTTTTCCTATAACTATTTTCTAATGAGAAAACATTTTAGAAAAATGAATTGTGTTCTCCTTCTGCTGGTGATTTTGTGTGCCTCCATGACCTTGGCTCTCGCCGATGAGGAAAAATACACCACAAAATATGATGGCATTGATATCGATGGCATTTTAAAATCAGATCGCCTTTTTAATCACTACTACAAATGCCTAATTGATAAGGGTGCCTGCACCCCAGATGGTCGGGAGTTGAAGAGAATCCTTCCCGATGCCCTGCGCACCGAATGCCGCAAATGCAATGACAAACAAAGGGCCAATGCAGATAAGGTTATCCGTTTTATTATCGACAAGAAACCAGAAGAATGGAAGGCCCTGCAGGCCAAATACGATCCTCAACGGGTGTACTACAACAAATATAAGGATGAGGCTTTGAAGCGTGGCATTAAATTGTAAAGTATGGCTCTTTTAATGAATATAATTCGAGAGATATTTGTTGTGTTAATATGTTATAAAAAATAAACAAAAATATGAAATAATGAAAGCAGCCTCTCTTTTCCGTAAAAAAAATTGGAATAAAATCGTTTATTAAATAGGGAGAACCTTGAACTGAGTAATCTCTTCCGGGATCCAGATAGACACTGTGTATGCATAATTTCAAAGCTTTCTTGTTATAGTGAATGTTATGAGAATAAAATATACAACCTACCCTGTAGGGAAATTTTGAAATAATTTATAATTTATTTTCCCTTAACACAAATACTATGTTTACATTAGAGCTTTTTGCCGGGTTAACCTCCTATATAAAGATTTATTTGATGCATACGAAGTCGAATTGGCAATTTAAATTCACCGGGGTACTAATTTCGTTAAATTATAATAGTACTGGCTATTTTAACATAGACAGCAGACACGCCTGTCCATACCGGCAAATATTTTACAACTAGTCAAAGCTAACCATTTCTGGACAAATTTATAGTTAACCAGTAAAGAAAGTCTTGTAGTCGGGCGGGGCCGACTTTATGATACCCTACACCACTTTGCTAATTTGGTAGAGCTCCACATAACAATTAAAAGTTTTTATGGGAGAATTCAATCATACACGCCGTGATTATAATTATAATTTCAAGTTCAGAGGACTAAATATGCCGAAGCATTTGTATCTTTTAAATTCGGACTTGTATTGCCCATTTGGTGCACAATTAATTTGAAATCGGATAAAGTTATATATGGGAGCTATATCCAAATCTGAACCGATCTCGATAAAATTTAGCAAATGTATTTCTGAGCTGCATTTGATATATTTCCCCAAATATTGTTGTTACAGAGTGCATATTACGGCTGTGGAGGACAAAAAATAACAAATCGGATGAACAATTTATATGGGAGCTATAGTTATATCTGAACCGATTTCGATCAAATTTGGCATACTTATTTCCAGACCTAATATGGTTGTATGTGCAAAATTCCATACTATTCGGGCTGATATTACACGTTTGGTGTACAATAGAAGGCAAATCGGACGAAGATATATATGGGAGCTATATCTAAATTTTGACCGATTATTTCCAATTTCAATAGGGTTCGTCCTTGGGCCAAACAACTGATCTGTGCAAAGTTTCATCTCAATCGGATAATAAATGCGACCTACATTTTGTTCACAAGAATACATGGACAGACGGACGGACGGACAGACGGACGGACGGACAGACGGACGGACATGCATAAATCGACTCAGAATGTGATTCTATGCAGATCATCAAAAGGAACTATGGGTCTATCTCGTTTCCTTCTGCCTGTTACAAACAAATGCACAAAGACATAATACCCTGACCACCTTGTGGTGTAGGGTATAAAAACAAAACAAGTCAAAAAGCAGTATGTTCGGCCGGGCCGAACTTTGAATACCCTCCACCATTTGGAACGAATTAGGGAAATTTTCAAAAACAAAATCCCTTAAAAATTCTGTTAAAATCTTAAAAATACCGAATATAGCCGTTATATTGGGGTCTATACGACGTTGATCTACATAGGCATTGTTTGTCATAAGTTATTACCATATTCAAATAAACGGTGAATAATGTAGCTAAAATAAATCGGGAGGTGCCGTTATATCGGAGCTGTCGAAGACCTGGACTAGCATAGACAATTTTCTGTAACAGGCTGTAGTATCCATTACGAACTCCAAATACGATATCTGAAACAATTTCGGTGGGTATTGTACCTAAAATCGTCAAAATACCGAATATTGGGAGATACCATTATATGGGGGCTACACGAAGACGTGGACCTGCACAGACAATTTTCTGTCATAAGCTATAGTATCCATTACGAACTCTAAATACGTAATTTGAAACAATTCCGGTGAATAATGAAGCTAAAATCATCAAAATACCGAATATAGAGAATTACCGTTATATGGGGGCTATACAAAGACGTGGACCTGTACAGACAATTTTCTGTCTTAGGATGTAGTATCCATTTCGAACTTCAAATACCAAATTTGAAACAATTCCGGTGAATAATGTTGCGGCTATATGAAAACGTGGACCTACATGGCCCATTTACGAACTTAACCTGCCTACTGGAAAAATAAACATATGTGCAAAATTTTGGCCTTCTATCTCAATTCTTTCGAAAGGTAGCGTGACAACAACAGACAGACGGACATCGCTAAATCGACTTAGAATTTTACGCTGATCAAGAAAAATACTTTGTTGGGTCTGACATAAGTATTTCGAGGGGTCACAAACGAAATGATAAAGTAAATATACCCTCCTTAGTATGGTGCAAGAAAGAGAGAAGGTGACAAAATTGTTTTGTGTGACAGACCGATTCAATTTTTGACAAACAAACTCTTTGTTATTTTTCGTTAGGGGAGGAGGAGCAATAGATTTTATTGTTATTCTTTGTTTTGGTTGTGGCAAAATTTTTGAAGTATGAATGTATTGGGCAAATTAGGTATATAACACAAGCCACTTTATTATTTCGACATGTTTTTCTGTTGAAATTGGTCAATCTCCAGATGTTGTGCCATCCCATCCTATCCCATTTCTTCCAAACTTGGTACACTGTAATATTATTATCAAACTTAAATCGAGTTCGGAGATGGGCAATATCGGTGCACTTCCTTCTTCTGGTTCACTCCACAAAAAATGTCAATGTTTACTGCACAAAAAGAGAAAGGATAGTCCTATTTTGATCTAACTTTGCAAAATCCTAGCATCTGCATTAGTGCTAGAGCTGGAACGAACATGGAAAATATCGCTGTCCCATAAAGGGATATAATTTTAAATTATTAAAACTCCTATAAAATGTGATGCTAGAGTTCGATTGTCTTCAATTTATACACATCACAATATTTTTTACTAACCCAAGGTTTGGTGAGAAGTTGAAATATATCGGTCCACTCCTTCCGGTATCTCTCCCACAAAAGGTCGAAATTTTCAAATATATATTTTTTCTTTTGCACAGAAAGAGAAGCGATAAGTTCTAGGTCAGGTGCGAAAATCGACAGTATAGATCCACTTCATCAAGTACCTCCCCACAAAGGGTCAAAATTTTGAATATCCATAAAGCTCATATAACTCAGAATTAACATTCGATTCCATTCAGACTTGGCAAATCTCAATATTTCCATCAACACAAGATCTGTTATACAGATGGTAGACATCCGGCCAGTACCACATAGTACCTACATAGGCTTCAAGATTTTTTCTTGCTAAGGCAAGATCTGTTGTGAAGATGATATATACCTGCCCAACCCCTTTTGGTCCCTTACCAAAAAGGGTCACAATTTTTATAAACTTTTATCTGTCATAACTTGCCAAACAAGTCAGCGATTCTTTACAACTTCCTATATCTAAATATTCCCCACAACCAGAAACTTGAGATGAATATGGAATTCACGATATCGCAAAAATCGGATATAAATGTTAGATTATCTTGTAATTTTGCCCATACCAATATTTATACCCTACAACACTATATGTTGGGGGTATTATAAGTTTGATTGGGCCAAAAATTATGTTTCACCTCGAAATATTGGTTTCCCATGGATCTTCCTATCTCGACGACATGAGTCTGTCCATGTTAATTTGTAATCAACCTACAGGTCGCAATTATGAACCGATCCTCACGAAATTGAAAATGGAGGTGGGGTTAGGGTCAGAATAGAACCCTATTTTCCTGATTTTGCATATGCTCTATAGGCCACAATTATGAACCAATCGACACGAAAATTTATACGGAGTTAGAGTTTAGGAGTGGGCCGAAACCTACCAATTTGAGCGGCCATCGGACAATAATTAGCGGGTAAAATAGACCCTAATTTTTATGTAAAAAATAGGAAAATTTTCACTAAACCGCGAATAATTTCCATCCCAGCCAAATCACAAATACATTACAGTGATGCTAATAGCCAAGAAATCGGCTATATAGCAAAATAGGTATAATATATATGTGAAATAGTTGATCTTATTTATTCTGCTTATAAATCAAAAACCGCTGGGCCGATTTTCACAATTCCCATCAATACGGAATGGTCTCTTGCCTCAAAAGGATAAAATCTGAGAAAATCGCGGAAAAATATACCAATAAAAAAGTGAATATTTGTTGTTTAATTTTTTCAATTCTTGTCATATTTTTTATCGCATGCGATTTTTTTAATTTGACTTATAATTTTGAATTGTAAATATTCTAAATTTTTACACCACCCAACACTATGTTTTGAGTGTATTCTACGCATGTCCGATCCTCACGAAATTTTGCATGGAGGTAGGGTTAGGATCAGAACTAAAGCCTATTACTCTTAAGATGTACATATAGGGTTTCAAATGGACTAAAAGAATTTAAATTTTTCTCATTTTGTAGTCGCTCTATAGGCCACAATTGAAAACTAATCGACATTGAATTTCGCATCAGAAGAGAGTAAAGGACAGGGAAAAAGTCTAGCATTTTGAATGACCATTAGATTAAATTTAGCTGTAAAATTGACCTCAGCATTCGTGTGAAATTGTTTTGAATACTTAACAACACTACGGAGTGCGTAAATATTGGCCGAATTCTTCGGGTCAAAAACCTAAGGGTAAACTCTGGGCAGAGCTCTTTGACATTATTTTAAAAACGAAATCTTCAAAAATGGAGTTGGATATGAGGGGGCTTGAACATATTGTAGTGTTGTATGGTAATACATTGTCGGCTCCGCACGACTATAGCCTTTGCTTACTTGTTTTAAATGTATTAGCTGAAGCATGAAAATGGAATACTTCGGTCGACTATGTCTGGTACCTCACACACATTTTAACATTTTCTAAAAATTATCACATGTCTCATATAAAGTTAAGGGAGTAACCAATATAGTCCAAACCTGGCAAGTCGCAATATAATAAATATGATATAAAATATTTATTTAGGTCCGATACGAAATGGACAATATTGGTCCTATCCTTCGGAACCTACTCCACAAACTTAATAATAATAACATGACATCAAATATATTTAAATAATCTAACATTGGCTGAAGGTATACATCGACTTATACTTGTTTATAGACCATAGTTCTGCAAACGCATGATACGGATATTATCGCAGGTAGAGAAAATAAAGCATAAAAACACTCTAACGCTGCATATTATTTCGTTTTACTCATAATTGATCATTAATGCTGTGAACTGAAAAGGCTCCATAAAAAATACTGCGATTATTTCGCTCGTATAAAAAAATAAAAGTAGAACAAAGATCTGTGATTTCAAATTCGAAATGACAAAAGTCGAAGTCGATCTACGTATCCCTAGTCAAGAACAAGTCAAAGACCTAAAATGGTAAAGACTGGACAAAATGAATTTTGAGCAAATGGTTTGTGTCTACAATTCGTAGAGTAACAGCTCATGGCAGATATATGTTAATGTAAAAACAACATTTACGGAAACAAATAACAAATAAAATTTTGAAAAATCCGAAATGTTGGTTTCAAAATTATATTTCAGAGACCTGTCTAAAAGTTTGCATATTGCTTTAGCGGCTTAAATCAGTTAACATTGGTAACTATGTTGTTATGATATTGTAACAACAGAGGTATTTTCACAGAGTTGCCATATTTTGACACTGTCTTGTCCTATCTTTATACTTCTATGTCTTTGAACAAGTTAAAAAACAGGTAAGTTTGGCCGAACTTTTTATACCCTTCACCATTTAGAAGAAACTTGAAAATGTCCAAAAAATTGTGTCGAAAAATACCGCTCGAATGATAACCGCTATATGGGGTCTATACGAAAATGTGGTCTTGCATATTTTTTTGTTATTTTTTGTCACAGGCTGTAGTAATGGTTCCGAATTTTGTATACGAAATTTTAAATAATTCCGGTGAATAATGTCGCAAGAATTATGAAAATGCCAAATATCTGAGGGAACGGTTACATGAGGGCCATACAATATCGAGGACTGATATAGCCCACTTGACCTGCCTGCAGACAAAAGACAGATATGTGCAAAATTTTACCTTCCTATCTTAATTCGTTTTGACTGTAACGCAATTAAGGCTAAATCGTCTTAGAATTTTATGCTGATGAAGAATATATATACCGTATTGGATCTAAAATAATTTCGATGAGTTACAAACGGAATGGCGAACTTAAAATACTCTCCATACTATGTATGGTGGAGGGTATAAAAAGCTGAGTATAATATATAATTTTCACCAGAGACTATGGAATATTCTACATACATGAGACCCAATGTCTAGTAATAAATAAAACTGTATATATTATTTACAATACAAACAAATAACAGTAGTTTATTTTCATATTTCCCACAAAGAGACAGGAACATTTACGTTTTTATAGGCCAACAACAATTCTTCACACAGCGAGTATTCTCTCATTTTTTCTCTCTCACACATTAGCGCCATCTTCATTTAGATTTTAATGCCACGCTTCTCGGCCTCATCCTTGTACTTGTTGTAGTAGACATGTTCGGGATCGTATTTCTCCTGCAGGGCCTTCCATTCTTCGGCTTTGTTTTCGATAATGTAACGAATTACCTTGTCGGCATTGGCCTTTTGTTTCTCGTTACATTTACTGCATTCGGTTTGCAAAGCATCGGGTAGGGTATTTTTCAATTCACGGCCATCGGGAGTACATGTACCCTGATCAATCAGACATTTGTAGTAATTGTTGAATAGGCGTTCCGATTTGAGGATTTCATCGATATCGATGTTATCGTATTTCGTAGTGTATTTGTCGTCATCGGCTGGAAGGCCAGCGACACAGGCAATTAGTACGGCAACAATTAAAAGTTTCATTTTGGCTGTGGGGGGAAATTTGCAATTCAATTCAACTGTAATGAAGCGGAAGAGATTAATTTTTATTAATTAATAATTATTTTTTTAATGAAAAAATTAAAATTTTTTTAATTTGATTTGGTGGTAAATTGTTTAATCGCATGTATTAGTTTTGTATATTTGGATTTTGTGATTACTAAACTCTCTTGTCAAAAACCCGGATCGATTTTGGATGAGTGACTAGACTTAAAAATAAAACCAAGCTTTTAGACCGGGTTTGTTTGATCTTTGGTTCAAATCCCACCTGTTGGTCGCCAAATGAAACTAACAATAACTTTTTACACTGCCAAAGTGCTTAGTAACTTTTTTGCGCCCTAATGTATGCAACTATGCAATTTAATCAACTTAAAGTATAGATGGCGTTATTTACCACTTTTCAGCAAATTAATTGCTGTGCGGTGCATGATAATGAAAACTATGAACAGGTTCATGTATCGCTTAGAAATTCTAACTATTTCAGTGAAAGGACAATCCCAAGTTCTCTATTCGATTCAGCAATAGATGAGAATAATGTTTAAATGGTTAGTTAAAAAATTAATAAATTACTGAAAGCACTGCCGCATAATTTATTATCTTTTCTGCGCCCTAATGTATGCAACTATGCAATGTTTTCAACTTGAAGTGTAGATGGCGTCATTTCCCATTTTCCCAGCAGCCAGTAATCCGGTGTGTGGGTGCATGATTATAAAGGCTATGAACAACTCAAAAATTAAATAATTAGATAAAGAGTAGTATCAGTCGGTTTTTTTCGACAGATGTATTTCCTCAGCCAATGTTCGATTATTTAAATATATTTTGACTTCCGTTATGGTTATTCAAATTGATGATTCTCTATGGAGTAGGTTGCGAAGGAATGAGTCAATACACTCCATTTCGCATCTGTACTAAATAAATGTGATATAAATATTGCGACCTGCCAGGCTTGAACTATACTGGTTACTTCCTTCACTTTATATGAGATATCTGATAATTTTTAGAAAATGTTGAAATGTATATGAGCTACTAGATATAGTCGACCGAAGTATTCCATTTTCACACTTCATCCAATACAGATAAAAATATTGATGTTTGTATTTGACCTAAGACTGATAAAAATATTACAACGCACCAGATTTGGACCATATCGACTACTTCCGATATTTTATATGAGATGTGTGATAATTTTTGGAAAATGTGAAATATGCGTGACTCCTCACGTATAGCGGACCATTTTCACACTTCATCTAATACCGATAAAAATATTGGTATGTGAAAAATTTGAAAAAAATCAAACATTTATATCCAATTTTATGCGAAATCATAAATTCCGCATTCATCTCAGGTTTCTGGTTGTGAGAAATATATGGATATTGGAGAATCGCTGACCAGTTTCGCACGTTATGACAAAAAAAAAAATATTAAAAATTGTAACCCTTTGTGGGTGAGGTACCAGAAGGGGTTCTCAGATATATATCATCTTCACAACAGATCTTGTGTTAGCAAAAATGTCTGTATGCGTGAAATTTGAAGAGAGTTGGATGCCTTTTTCGCTTTCATTGAGCGTTTTGCTATTCAAAATCTTGAAACCTATGTGGGGGAGGTACCAGAAGAAATGGTCCGATTTCTACCATTTTTCTAAGAGAGCTTGTGTTGATGGAAATACTAAGATATAGCAAGTCTGAACGGAATCGGATGCTAATTTCGCGTTTTATGAGCTTCATGGACATTCAAATTGGTGACCCTTTATGGGTGAGGTACCAGAAGGAGGGGTTCGCAGATAATATCATCTTCCCAGCAGATCTTTTTTTTTTGCAAAAATGTTTGCGTTTGTAAAATTTGAAGAGAGTTAAATGCTTATTTCGCGTTCATTGAGAGTTTTGCTTTTCAATATCTTGAACCCTATGTGGGGGAGGTACCAGAAGAAATGGTCCGATCTCTACCATTTTTCTAAGAGATCTTCTGTTGATAGAAATATTAAGATTTCCCAAACCTAAATGGAATCAGATATTTATTTCACGTTTTATGAGCTTCATGGATATTCAAAATGTTGGCCCTTTGTGGGGAAGGTGCCAGTAGGAGTGGAGCGATGTATCCCATCTTCACAGCTTATCTTAAGTAAGTAAAAATAATGGATATTCGAAATATAAAGAGAACCGGATGCTTATTTCGGATTTTTAATCGCTTAGGTTGTTCATAACTTTGACCCTTTGTGGGGGAGGTACCAGAAGAAAAGGTCCGATCTCTACCATCTTCATAACAGATCTTGTGTTGATAGAAATGTTGAGATGTGCCAAGTCTGAATGGAATCGGATGTTAATTTCGCGTTTTATAAGCTTCATGGATATTTAAAATGTTGGCCCATTGTGGGGGAGGTATCAGATGGAGTGGTCCGATATATTTTGTCTTTACACTAGACCTTGGGTTAATGAAAATATTGTGATCTGTGTAATTTGAAAACAATCGGATTCTAGTATCAAATTTTGCAAGATTAAGATAATTATTCAATATTTTGACCCTTTGTGGGGGAGGTACTGATTGGAATGGCTCGATATTGTCCATTTTCGCATATGACCTAACACTCATGCAAATATTAGGATTCGCAAAGTTCGACCAAAATCGGATTATTTTTTCGCATTCTGTGCAGTAAAATATTTTTTGAAAATTTCGACCTTTTGTGCTGGAGGTCCCATAGTGGACCTATATATTCCATCTTCACACCAGACCTTGGGTTAGTAAAAATATTGTCATACATGAAATTTGAAAACAATCGGACTCTTACACCACATTTCATAAGAGTTATAATTATTCAAAATTTTGACCCTTTGTTGGGGGAGTTACTTAATGGAGTGGCCCGATATTGTCCATTTTCGCATCTGACTTAGAACTCATGCAAATATTAGGATTCGCAAAATTGCAGCGAAATCGGATTATCCTTTCTCCTTCTGTGCAAGAATATATTTTTCTGAAAATTTTGACCTTTTCTAGGGGAGGTACCAGAAGGAGTGGAATAATATTGTCCATCTTCGAACTCGGTCTAAGTTTGATATAATATTTCGATGTATGCAGTTTTGAAAAAATCAAATATTCCCTTCGAGAGTTATCGTGCACACCAGCCAGACGGACGGACGAACATGGCTAGATCGACTTCAAATGTCTTGAAACGGATTTGGTTTGAAGAGAATTAGGGTCTAAAGCCGTTATTTCGATTAGGCACGTTCTGGCGTATCAAAAAAAAAAGATACATACGACCTGTAGCCATATGGCTAAGCGAATAACAAGGACTTCTTGAACAAAAGGACAATGTTTGTGCTCTATTTGATTTAGATATTTATTAGGTAGACGGTTAGTCTGATCTAAGTAGTTCCTACAGGAAAACCTGTTTTCTATAAAATCCACATTGAAGATTCCGTCCAACTGAAAATAGCACTGGCATCTGAACTTTAATTGTTTTACACTTGTAATTTTCTTTTAAGTATTTTCACATATTTTTTTTGCCACCAATAATTTTTTTTAATTAATTAATTAAACTCACATGGAATTATTTGAGAGAGTACTGGTAATGTTCAATTGTTTGCTGTTTACAAGCGACTGGCTTCCATTGAAGTATAGGCCACCTTTTTATAGTCATTATTGGCCATGTTCAACGATTAGAACATTGAGTATTTGCATTTGGCTGAGTTGCAGTCATGCCATGGGAGCAAGAAAAGCTTTCGTTGCTTTGCTTTGAGCCAAAGCTTTGAATTTCTATAGCATTTATCAATAGGTTTTTTATGAAGTGGCCGTTAGTTAAGATTCTAGATGGAAAATGTAAAAAACGCTGAAAATTCCTTAATTCTCAAAATTCTTTAAAAAAAGTCTGAGTAATATTGGCTTTCAGAGGCCTCAAAAAATTCTTTAAATATGCAAATATTTTTGGCTCGAAGAGACCTCCAAAAATTCTTTGAAAATCCTTGCAGTATTGACTTACGGGCACCTCTAAAATTCTTTAAAAATTGCTCCGTATTGAGTGAATGGACCTCTGAAGATTCTTTAACAAAAAATGTACTCAGTATTGACTTAAGGGTATCTATGCAGTTTCGGCATAAAGGGCCATCTAGAAATATGTTCAAAAAATTTTGAGTGCACCTGAGGTGCTAAGAAAATCTAGCAATTATAAATAAATAAATAATATAAAATTTCATATCTTGCCAACCGCCCTAAAATACCACATGTGTACAATTCAGTGATCCTGTGCGCTGTCGCATACGATAATATGTAAGATAATAAAGGACCACTTGATTTGAAGAGATATAATCAGCCCTGCAATGTTCTCAATTCAATATTAAAATAGATAAGAATAATTGTATGCATGCGATTAGATTAAGTTAGATAAGTTTTTGTAGCACTTAAGAAAAATATTTTTAAATAAAATCAGATTTAAAACAGAAACCAGAAAAAAATTCTTAAAAAAAAATCCGCGCAGAATTGGAAAAAAGGGACCTCTAAAAATTCTTTATAGACATTAACTCTAAAAAGGAATCACCAAAAATTCTTTAAAAATCGAGGTAGTATTGAGTAATAAATTTCCTCTGAAAATTCTTAATATCGCATACAGTTATATGTGAGATGCGTTCAGCAGTTAACCAAGACCACTTGAATGATAGAAGCAGTCCTGCTATGTTCTTCATTCGAAATTAAAAAAAAAGATAAGAATAATTGTGTGGCTGCGGTGAGGTTAAGTTAGATTCGTTTTTGTAGTACTTAAGAAAAATATTTTCACAAGATTTGCCAATGGGATCTCTAAATTTTTTTTAAAAATTCGACGAAGTATTGGGTTGAATGGACCACTAAAAATCCTTTAAAAAGTCGACAAAGTATTGAAATAAAGTGAGCTCTAAAAATTCTATAAAAATTCCACGCAGTAGTGGCTTAAAGCGCCTTTCATTTTGTTTCATCCACCCAGTAGTGGTTTATAGGGACCTCTAAAGGTTCTTAAAAAATCCACCCAGAAGTGGATTATAGGCACTTTTAACGATTTTTTAAAAAGTCACAAAGCAGTGGCTTAAAGGGATCTTTAAAAAATCTTTAAAAATATCTACGCAGTGTGACCTGTAGGGACCTCAAAAAAATCTTTAAAAATCCACGCAATATTGGCTTTTGGGGACCTCTAAAATTTTTTTTAAAAATCCACAAAGTAGTGGCTTAGAGGGACCTTTAAAAATTCTTTAAAAAATCCATGCAGTAGTGGCTTTTGGGGACCTCAAAAAATTCTTTAAAAATCCACAAAGTAGTGGCTTAAAGGAGCCCCTTTAAAAATCTTTAAAAATATCCAAGCAGTGTGACCTATAGGGACCTCAAAAAATATCCACGCAGTAGTGGTTTATAGGGACTTCTAAAAATTCTTTAAAAATCCACATAGTAGTGGTTTAGAGGGACCTCTAAAAATTCTTAAAAAAATCCACGCAGTTGCGGCTTAGAGGACCTCTAAAAGTCTTTAAAAAATCCACGCTGTAGTGACTTAAAGGGACTTTTCTGAAATCTTAAAAAAATCCACGCAGTAGTGACTTAAAGGGTCTTTTGAGAAATCTTAAAAAATCCACGCAGTGGTAGCTTTTGGGGACCTCTAAAAATTCTTTAAAAATCCACGCAGTAGTGGTCTAGAGGGACCTCTAAAAATTCTTTAAAAATCCACGCAGTAGTGGCCTTGAGGGACCTCTGAAAATTCTTTAAAAAATCCACGCAGTCGTGGCCTAGAGGGACCTTTAAAAATTCTTTAAAAAATCCACGCAGTAGTGGCTTTTGGGGACCTCTACCAATTCTTTAAAAATCCACACAGTAGTGGCTTAAAGGAACCCCTTTAAATATCTTTAAAAATATCCAAGCAGTGTGACCTATAGGGAAATCTCAAAAAATAACCACACAGTAGTGATTTATAGGGACTTCTAAAAATTCTTTAAAAATGCATATAGTAGTGGCTTAGAGGGACCTGTAAAAATTCTTTAAAAAATCCACGCGGTAGTGGCTTAGAGGGACCTGTAAAAATTCTTTAAAAAATCCACGCAGTTGTGGCTTAGAGGGACCTCTAAAAATTCTTTAAAAATCCAGGCAGTAGTGGCCTAGAGGGAACTCAAAAAATTCTTTCAAAAATCCACGCAGTCGTGGTTTGCAGGGACCTCAAAAAATTATTTTAAAAATCCACGCAGTCGTGGTTTGAAGGGACCTCAAAAAATTATTTTAAAAATCCACGCAGTCGTGGTTTATTTATTTAAAAAATCCACGAAGTAATTGATTAAAGGGAGCTTTCAAAATTCTTGAAAAAATCCACGCAGTCGTGGTTTATAGGGACCTCAATTTTTTCATAAAATCCACGCAGTGTTTAATTAAAGGGACCTTTCAAAATTCTTTATAAAATACATTCAGTATTGACTTAAAGGGTTTTTTCTTGAAAAAATGCATTTAGTATTTCTTAAAAAAAGATCTCAAAAAATTCTAAAAAATTCATGCTCTATGGGCTTAAAGGGTCTTCTCAAAATTGTTAGTAAAACACAAAGTATTGGCTAAAATGGACTTTAAAAAATTAGTTGAAAAATCGATGCAGTATTGGATAAAAGGATCCTCCAACTTTTATTATTTTTTTAAGAATCCACTATTTTTCCTAAAGGAACCCCTCAAAATCCTTCATATTATTAAGGTTTTCATTGTTAGCACATCTGAAAATTACAACACAAATCAATTCCGCAAAAAAAATCCCCCCATCCAACAAGGAATTGATACGAATAACAGCAATTAAATTCGTCATTTAGATCAATCGAACAACAGCTAAATGGGATCATAAAAATTTAAATCGTTGCTTTTTTCTTTGTTTTGAAACGGCCTGCGGAAATTTTTCAAAATATCAAAGCATTATTACATTAACATTCAGAACACTTGAGCTCAAAAGAATAATAATAAAATAAAGCTTTCGTAGAAGTTCCGCCCAACTTCTTCTTCTTCTCGCATGAGTAAGTGCAGCAGCGCAAACAGCGGCGTAAGCAGCAACAGCCGCCGCTGCTGCTGGCTGGATGGATGAGTGGCTAGAAGCATGACTTGGAATTGAGCACTGCTGCAAGTACTCAATATTCTGATTGAATATGGCCAATAAATTCCGATATAAATAGGTGGCCAGTGGCCGGGCAGAAACTAGTCAGGTTGTTTGTTTACAATCGATCAAGTGCAGATTAGAACAAAAACAAAACTTGTGTGAGTTTTTTGAAAAAAAAAAAATAATAAAGAAATAAAAAATATAAAAAAATAAATAAAATAAAAAATATTTAAAAATCCAAAAATATATAAGAAAATATTGTGATTAGTAAAAAAATAGATAAAAAATAATAATAATGTTAATGTAATGAAGTAAATTTGTTAATAAAAAATACAAAGTAGGAAAAATGTTGTAAAAATGAACGAATTCAAGAAAATAAAATAATTCAATAATAAATATTGTACTCTAAGGTTAAATAAAATTTAAAGTATTTTTAAAATTAAAAAAAAATATTTTTGTAATAAAAAATATTAAATTAAAAATGCATTTAAAAAGCACTTTTTTTGAAATGATAAAGTAAATTTGTTCATTAAAAAAAAAACAATTGGGAAAAATGTTTTAAAAATTAATGCATTTTTATTTAAAAATATATACGCTTGTTAAAAATACATTCAAGAAAATAAATTTATTTAATGAATCAATAATAAATATTCTACCTTAAGGTTAAATATATTAAATTAAAAACACATTTAAAAAGCAAAAAATGTGAAACACCAAATAAAAATTGCCTTTAAAAATGTGAAAGGCGGAGTTGGAGATGGAGAAGAAGGACTCAAATGTTTAAAAACGAAATAAAAATATTAAAAATTTAAAATTTTTTTAGAAATTAATTTAAAAAAAACGTTTTTTTAAGTCGTGAAATTTTATAAAATGCCAAATTTTAAACCAAAATATTAAAAAAATGAAACAAAATTAATACAAAAATTTCTATAGAAAATGTATTTATATCCATGAATAAAAGCAAAAATAAAAAAATAAAACAATGAAATTAAGTTAAATATTTATAAAAAATATTTAAAAATTAAAATAAAAATAAATAAAATATAAATATTATAAATAAAAAATTTTTATTTATATCCTGTAATATAAAAAAAATTAAAAAAGCAAATCCAAAGAAATTAAATTAAATATTTTTGAATAATATTTAATAATTTAAGAAAATTACATTCTTATTTAATTCCTTTAATATAAAGCAAAAGAACAAATTTCAAATAGGAAATCCAAAGAAATTAAATCAAATTTTTTTGAAAAATATTTAAAAAATTAATATTTAAAAATCCATTTTTGAAAAATATTTAATAATTTAAAAAAAAATAAAATTTTTATTTAATTCCTTTAATGTAAAGCAACAGAAATATTTCAAATGACAAACCATAGAAATTAAATCAAATATTTTTAAAAAATATTTAAAAATTAAAAAAAAAATTTCATTCATATCCTTTTATATAAAACATAGATGAAGAAAAACTTAAATTAAATAATTTTGAAAAATATTTAAAAATTAAAAACACTAAAACATTTATTTATTTATTTTCCCTAATATAAAACAACAAAAATTGAATTTTTAAAAAGCAAAATCCAGGGAACTAAATTAAATATTTTTGAAAAATATTTTCAAATTGGAAAAATAAAGTTTTTTTTTTTAAAAATTCAAATTGAAAACATACTATATTTTTATTTATTTATATTCTTTAATATATAACAAAAAAAATTGATTACATAAAACCCAATCCAAAGAAATTAAATGAAATATTTTTGAAAAATATTTAAAAATTAAAAATAAAGTTGATATTTTTATTTATTTCATTTAATATACAACAACAAAACAGTTGTAGAAAAGAAATTCCAAAGAAATTAAATTTAATAATTTTAAAAAGTATTTCAAATTGAATATTTTTATTTATTTCCCTTAATATAAACCAAAAAAGAAATGAATTGTTAAAAAGCAGATCCAAAGAAACTAAATTAAATATGTTTTAAAAAATATTTAAAAATTAAAAAACAGAATATTTTTATTTATATTCTTTAATATAAAACCAAAAAATAGATTACACAAAAAAACAACAATCCGAAGAAATTAAAATTAATTAATTAATTAAAATTAATAGAATATAATATTTTTATGATATTTAAATATTTTTTTATTATATTTATTATATATATTTTTACAATTTATTTATTTTTGTTTTATATTAAAAACAAAAATAAATAGATTGTAAAAAAGAAATGCAAAGATATTAAATATTTTTGGAAAAATATTTAAAAATTTAAAAAACAGAATATTATTTTTCTCTTAAGATAAAACAAAAATTGTACAAAACAAATATTTAATAATAAAAAAGTAGAATATTTTATATATGAAAATACAAAATTTAAAATATTTATTTTAAAGAATAATAATAATAATGTATTTTAATTGTTAAAAATATCAAAAGTTAACAGATTTTTTTCTAATTATTATTTAAAATATCTTAATAATTACTTTAAAATTTATTTTAAAAAATATTTCCAACAATATTATTTTATTATTATTTTTTTATTAATTAATTTATTATTATTATTATTATTATTATTATTATTTTTATTATTATTATTATTATTATTATTATTATTATTATTATTATTATTATTATTATTATTATTATTATTATTATTATTATTATTATTATTATTATTATTATTATTATTATTATTATTATTATTATTATTATTATTATTATTATTATTATTATTATTATTATTATTATCATCATCATTATTATTAATTTTAAAATTTTTTACACCTGTTAACCTTCATTTTTCTTTATACTTCTAGTGCAGATACCTTCATCAACATGAAATTTCTAATTTTCGCCTTCTTCATTGCCTTGGCCGCTTGCATGGTGGCAGCCAAACCGGCCGATGAGAAATACACCACGAAATACGATAACATCGATATCGATGAAATCCTCAAATCGGAACGCCTCTTCAACAACTACTACAAATGCCTGATTGATCAGGGAACCTGTACCCCCGATGGCCGTGAATTGAAGAATACTCTACCCGATGCTTTGCAAACCGAATGTAGCAAATGTAACGAAAAGCAAAAGGCCAATGCCGACAAGGTTATTCGTTATATCATTGAAAACAAAGCCGAAGAATGGAAGGCCCTACAGGAGAAATACGATCCCGAACATGTCTACTACAACAAGTACAAGGATGAGGCCGAGAAGCGTGGCATTAAAATCTAAATGAAGTTAATTATGATGATATGTCCTCTTCGGATGCTGTAAATGTCCCTGTCTCTCTTTGCACAAGTATTCGAAGGATAATACAGGAATTGAAAAGTATTTGTTTAAATAATTTGTTTAAAAGTTGTGATTAATTTTTTATGTTGTTTTGATTAAAATAAAAGTCGGCTGTTGAAGAAAAAAAATAAATATGAATTGTTTTTATGGGATTTTTAATAACCATGTGTTACAGTGGGATTTTATGTCCTGAAAAATATTGTTCAAAATACTTATTTATATACTATAAGGTGCGCCAGAGGTGCTAAGAAAATCTAGCAATTATAAATAAATATTCTAAAATAATATATCTTTCCAGCCGCCATAAAATACCACAGGTGTACCATTCAGAGATCTTGTAAGCTGTAGCATACCATAATATGCAAGATAATAAAGGTTATAACCCACACACTCACACATATCGATGAGTTCAGTAGGTAGCCAAGACCACTTGTATGAAGAGACAAGCAGATCTGTAATTATCTCCATTCAATATTAAAGTAGATAGGAATAATTGTACGGCTGCGATTAAGTTAAGGTAAATTAATTTTGTAATACTTAAGACAAAATTGTTTCAAATAAAAAGTAGAATAATCTATGATTATGGCTTCAACAGTTCCTGGAAAAAAAAAAACTACAAAATAATGATATATTTTGAGCCTTGGAAATTCTTTAAAAATCATCCCGATAATAGGAAGATAAAAAAAAAATCCAGGATTGTTAATACGTTGGACCGTAAAAAACATTCTTATAGAAATCTACAATTTTGGCCTTGGGAGGACCTAAAAAATATTTTTTTTAATAAATTCTCAATTTTTGGCCTGCTTGATTTTAAAATTGAAGTGGTATTTAAAATTCACAAATTTGGTCCTGGTAATTCCTAAAAATGGTCTTAAAAATCCACATTCTGTAGTGTGTTGGACCTCAGAACATCCATGGGTATTCCTCAAAATATTTTTAAAAACCCATAATTTTTGACCTGGAAATTTCTAAACATAGTCTTGAAATGTCAAGCTTTTGGCCCTAAATGGTGATGGGAGTTCCTTAAAATATATTTTGAAACAAATCCATAATTTTGGCCTGAAAATTCTTAAATAAACTTCTTATATTATAATAATTTAATTATAATAATAATAATAATTTTGGCCACAATTCTTAGGTTTTCAAAAATATTCCAAAAACGTAGATTTTGATCCTAAAAGTTCTCTAAAAAATGTTCTAAAAAGGTCCATTGTTGGAGTTTGAAAAAATATTCTTTAATACTTTGATGCTAAGAGTCCTAAAAAATCATCAACAAATCATAAAAAACAATTCATTTTTACCCTAGAGTTTTTGAAAAGTTATTCAAAAAAAAAAAAAACACTATTTCTTGACCTTGAGAAATAGTATCAGAAATCCGCCATTTTGTACCTGGAAGTTATTAAAAATATATTCTAAAAACATCATCATTAAGTCTTGAAAAATTATTTTTTAAAAACCCTATATTTTTGGTACACCGGACCATTGTAGGTCTTTTGGACCATAATCTTCAAAATTAAAATTATATCTCTGAATGTTCCTGAAAATATTCTGAAAAATAAAATATAAAAAAATCAAATAAATATTATTTAAAGTTTAAAAATAGCCTTTTTTAAAACGGCCATAACTCCTTAAATATTGACATTTCGGGGTTTTTAGCATCGTTTTGATGGCAGTTATTTAAAGTGAGAAAATAGCCTTTTTTAAAACGGCCATAACTCCTTAAATATTGACATTTCGGGGTTTTTAGCATCGTTTTGACTGCAGTTATTTAAAGTGAGAAAATAGCCTTTTTTTAAAACGGCCATAACTCCTTAAATATTGAAATTTCGGGGTTTTTAGCATCGTTTTGACTGCAGTTATTTAAAGTGAGAAAATAGCCTTTTTTAAAACGGCCATAACTCCTTAAATATTGACATTTCGGGGTTTTTAGCATCATTTTGATGGCAGTTATTTAAAGTGAGAAAATAGCCTTTTTTAAAACGGCCATAACTCCTTAAATATTGACATTTCGGGGTTTTTAGCATCGTTTTGACTGCAGTTATTTAAAGTGAGAAAATAGCCTTTTTTAAAACGGCCATAACTCCTTAAATATTGACATTTCGGGGTTTTTAGCATCATTTAAGTCGCGGTTATTTAAAGTGAGAAAATAGTCTTTTTTAAAACGGCCATAACTCCTTAAATATTGACATTTCGGGGTTTTTAGCATCGTTTTGACTGCAGTTATTTAAAGTGAGAAAATATCCTTTTTTTAAAACGGCCATAACTCCTTAAATATTGAAATTTCGGGGTTTTTAGCATCGTTTTGACTGCAGTTATTTAAAGTGAGAAAATAGCCTTTTTTAAAACGGCCATAACTCCTTAAATATTGACATTTCGGGGTTTTTAGCATCGTTTTAATTGCAGTTATTTAAAGTGAGAAAATAGCCTTTTTTAAAACGGCCATAACTCCTTAAATATTGACATTTCGGGGTTTTTAGCATCGTTTTGATGGCAGTTATTTAAAGTGAGAAAATAGCCTTTTTTAAAACGGCCATAACTCCTTAAATATTGACATTTCGGGGTTTTTAGCATCGTTTTGATGGCAGTTATTTAAAGTGAGAAAATAGCCTTTTTTAAAACGGCCATAACTCCTTAAATATTGACATTTCGGGGTTTTTAGCATCGTTTTGATGGCAGTTATTTAAAGTGAGAAAATAGCCTTTTTTAAAACGGCCATAACTCCTTAAATATTGACATTTCGGGGTTTTTAGCATCGTTTTGATGGCAGTTATTTAAAGTGAGAAAATAGCCTTTTTTAAAACGGCCATAACTCCTTAAATATTGACATTTCGGGGTTTTTAGCATCGTTTTGATGGCAGTTATTTAAAGTGAGAAAATAGCCTTTTTTAAAACGGCCATAACTCCTTAAATATTGACATTTCGGGGTTTTTAGCATCGTTTTGATGGCAGTTATTTAAAGTGAGAAAATAGCCTTTTTTAAAACGGCCATAACTCCTTAAATATTGACATTTCGGGGTTTTTAGCATCGTTTTGATGGCAGTTATTTAAAGTGAGAAAATAGCCTTTTTTAAAACGGCCATAACTCCTTAAATATTGACATTTCGGGGTTTTTAGCATCGTTTTGATGGCAGTTATTTAAAGTGAGAAAATAGCCTTTTTTAAAACGGCCATAACTCCTTAAATATTGACATTTCGGGGTTTTTAGCATCGTTTTGATGGCAGTTATTTAAAGTGAGAAAATAGCCTTTTTTAAAACGGCCATAACTCCTTAAATATTGACATTTCGGGGTTTTTAGCATCGTTTTGATGGCAGTTATTTAAAGTGAGAAAATAGCCTTTTTTAAAACGGCCATAACTCCTTAAATATTGACATTTCGGGGTTTTTAGCATCGTTTTGATGGCAGTTATTTAAAGTGAGAAAATAGCCTTTTTTAAAACGGCCATAACTCCTTAAATATTGACATTTCGGGGTTTTTAGCATCGTTTTGATGGCAGTTATTTAAAGTGAGAAAATAGCCTTTTTTAAAACGGCCATAACTCCTTAAATATTGACATTTCGGGGTTTTTAGCATCGTTTTAATTGCAGTTATTTAAAGTGAGAAAATAGCCTTTTTTAAAACGGCCATAACTCCTTAAATATTGACATTTCGGGGTTTTTAGCATCGTTTTGATGGCAGTTATTTAAAGTGAGAAAATAGCCTTTTTTAAAACGGCCATAACTCCTTAAATATTGACATTTCGGGGTTTTTAGCATCGTTTTAATTGCAGTTATTTAAAGTGAGAAAATAGCCTTTTTTAAAACGGCCATAACTCCTTAAATATTGACATTTCGGGGTTTTTAGCATCGTTTTGATGGCAGTTATTTAAAGTGAGAAAATAGCCTTTTTTAAAACGGCCATAACTCCTTAAATATTGACATTTCGGGGTTTTTAGCATCGTTTTGATGGCAGTTATTTAAAGTGAGAAAATAGCCTTTTTTAAAACGGCCATAACTCCTTAAATATTGACATTTCGGGGTTTTTAGCATCGTTTTGATGGCAGTTATTTAAAGTGAGAAAATAGCCTTTTTTAAAACGGCCATAACTCCTTAAATATTGACATTTCGGGGTTTTTAGCATCGTTTTGATGGCAGTTATTTAAAGTGAGAAAATAGCCTTTTTTAAAACGGCCATAACTCCTTAAATATTGACATTTCGGGGTTTTTAGCATCGTTTTGATGGCAGTTATTTAAAGTGAGAAAATAGCCTTTTTTAAAACGGCCATAACTCCTTAAATATTGACATTTCGGGGTTTTTAGCATCGTTTTGATGGCAGTTATTTAAAGTGAGAAAATAGCCTTTTTTAAAACGGCCATAACTCCTTAAATATTGACATTTCGGGGTTTTAGCATCGTTTTGATGGCAGTTATTTAAAGTGAGAAAATAGCCTTTTTTAAAACGGCCATAACTCCTTAAATATTGACATTTCGGGGTTTTTAGCATCGTTTTGATGGCAGTTATTTAAAGTGAGAAAATAGCCTTTTTTAAAACGGCCATAACTCCTTAAATATTGACATTTCGGGGTTTTTAGCATCGTTTTGATGGCAGTTATTTAAAGTGAGAAAATAGCCTTTTTTAAAACGGCCATAACTCCTTAAATATTGACATTTCGGGGTTTTTAGCATCGTTTTGATGGCAGTTATTTAAAGTGAGAAAATAGCCTTTTTTAAAACGGCCATAACTCCTTAAATATTGACATTTCGGGGTTTTTAGCATCGTTTTGATGGCAGTTATTTAAAGTGAGAAAATAGCCTTTTTTAAAACGGCCATAACTCCTTAAATATTGACATTTCGGGGTTTTTAGCATCGTTTTGATGGCAGTTATTTAAAGTGAGAAAATAGCCTTTTTTAAAACGGCCATAACTCCTTAAATATTGACATTTCGGGGTTTTTAGCATCGTTTTGATGGCAGTTATTTAAAGTGAGAAAATAGCCTTTTTTAAAACGGCCATAACTCCTTAAATATTGACATTTCGGGGTTTTTAGCATCGTTTTGATGGCAGTTATTTAAAGTGAGAAAATAGCCTTTTTTAAAACGGCCATAACTCCTTAAATATTGACATTTCGGGGTTTTTAGCATCGTTTTAATTGCAG